TGAAAATGTAAATTGTTATACCAAACATTCTTCTAGCAACTAAAATATCATCATTGATTCATCATATAAAGAACATCGTTCTTTCTTCATGATACTTCTCAAATCTATTTTTTCCTTCAGATAATTTGGAATTTTCAACTTATATTTAGGTGGAAATACCACAGAACTCAGATCCGTAATAGATGCAATGGCAGAAGTTGTCCATGTGCGAGCAAATTTAAAAATCAGTGGACTAAAAATATACTGGCTTAAATAGTTTCTTTACTGTCAGAATTCTCTGCTATGAAACTCCATGGACAAAATAGGATGTAGCATTTCAAAACCCAAGTAATCAAAGCTTGTTTCTTGGGATTTATTGATAGTTCCCTAAGCAGTAATCCCCAAAACATCAACTTGAATTAATAGTTTAATTAGTGGAAAGTTTTTGGTGATAATATACACCCCAAAAATGTACATGCATTTTCCAGTCCCAATATAGTCATATGTTTTATTTATATATCATATAAAGTTGATTATGCCAATTCATCAGGTACTAATTACTATGTTAATTGTAAAGCACAGAACACAGGAAGCTTTATGAATGAGATAATAGGTATATGAGATGAAGTTGTAATAGTATCTCTCCCAGTATAGCGGATTACTTTGCTTGTCCCTCTAGGACACATATATTCTTCTCTGGAGACCATTGGATAGACTGATGCAAAATGCTCCTAACCAATCTCTTCTCCCACCAATCTAAAGCTTCAATTTCTCTCCACTTCCTAATGAATTAAATATAACTTTCTCATCTTGGTATTTGATTTTTTCACAATATGGCTCTTGTCTGGCTTCCCATTTTTCCCACAGTCCGCTACTCTACATTGTCACATACTCCAGGCAAGCTATTTCCCAAACAGGCCCTTTCGTGCAGTTAGCATGATCTTTTCCATATAATGACAGGCACCAAACAAGTCTTCAACACCTATTAAATGCCAGGCACTGTGCCAAGACTGAGGGATACAAAGACTTTTTATTATAGATAGGAGTTTTTTTTAATAGAGATAAGAAAGCTTATCATCTCGTTATTTCCTCTGACTAAAATGTTTGTCTTCTAAAATTTCTCCTATTTCACCTATGAAAATTCTCCTCAATCCTTCAAAGCTCTTTGTAATCTCTCTTCTTTATGAAGTCCCCCTCTTCCTCTCTCTCCCCCCTCCTTTAAGGCATCTGTCAATTTATCTATCCTTAGTATCACAGCTCTTTGTTTGCCTGTTTGTTCCTGTCCTTCAAAATTTTAGTTTATTCCTCACACTAATTGCTGGAAAAGTTGAAAAATATGTGTTGATCGAAATATGTACCACTTTCTAAAGAGATTTAAGGTTATTTTCTCTTATTTTTCTGAAGGCTTAACCCAGTGGCATTTGGGTGCAAAATTTCATGTATATATGAAATATAGATTTCAATGTGGAATTTGGGTTTATGAGATTATTTTGGCAAAATTCAGTTTTCCATGGAATTTTCATTTTAATACATTCTCATGAAAGAAGCTTACATGGATTTAACAAATACCAGGGCTGTCTCTGTTAGTGTGATCATTTTTTTCTTCAGATGTTTTTATGTGTCACGTATCTGCTCTACTCACAGAAGTAGAACATAGTAACAGATTTTCTCACGTTCGTGCTACTAAATATGCATTTTTAAATTTTGTCTTGTACCAAGGAGAACCTATATTTCAGTGTTTGTGCTATATATAAAGTTGAGAAGAGCAATGGCAAGACCTGTAAACATTTTGTAAATGTTTGCATGCCCCATCTTTTTCCAGGCACTGAGAATGGGCCAATTAGGAGAAATCCGGCAGGAAATGTGGCTAGACCAATGGTGCAACGTCTTCCTGAACCACAGGATGTCGCTCAGTGCTTGGAAGTTGGTTTATTTGACACACCTCCTTTTTATTCCAATTCTACAAATAGTTTCCGAAACACCGTAGAAGGTAAATAAACAAAATCAGTGCTTTGAATTGACCTAGGTATCAGAATAAACTGAAGTATTCAAAAGCAGGTCTCTTTGAAATGGCTTTGAATAGCATATTGATCCTGTGAGTTTATGTGAATGAGTTTGCCTATTATTATGTATCAGCTCAGAAAATAACTTTCTTAAAAAGAAGTGTCAGACCATGAAACTCTTTTGAGTTATTATAGGAGAATCCCTTGAAAATTATTCTTCAGTCTCTTAAACGTCTAAAAACTATTTAAACTCATATTTCTGGTAACTAGCTGGCCAATATCTGTAACTTTATCAAGGTCTAGCATTGGCATATATTAATAATATTCAAAACTTTGACAGCTTACTAAAATTTTTTCTTTAAAAAAATAAGAGTAACAATAAAAGAATTCCAAACAATTAGTTAACATCCACTACAGTCAGGTTTGGACAAATGTTTTATTTAGGTCTGTATCAACCTGTAATGAAAATTTTTTTAAAAGTCTATAAAAATTCAAATTAGTATCTACTGACATTTAATTTGGTTTTCCTTGTTTCTCTCAAAGGTTTTTAAAGCTGAGGAAACTGAATTCTAAAGAGACAAAATGACTTTCCCAAGATATTCAGATAGGTAGTAACAAAACACAGATTCAAATCCAAATTGTCTAAATCCATACCTTTATGTAATAAATTTTGATACCTCCAAATCATGTTTGATATATATTTAATGTTAAAAAGGAATATAACCACATTTAACTTTATTATAAACTTGCTGTTGTCAAATATTTTAAATATAACATACAGCATGTCAGATGTATCCTGCCCCCCTCAAAAATGCCCTACTGAGACAGTTGACATATAAACCCGATAATTATTTTTAATTCTTTTACCCTTTGATGCTTAAAATTTATACCATGTTTATTTATCTTTATGCTTATTTTAATTTTAATAACTGCATGAATACACTTATTTGGAGATCATTCAATAAATAATCACTGTATTTTGATTAACTGGTATCCATAAAGTAGGACTATTAAGTACTGGTATCTTAAAAAATGTGCAGATTGTGTCTTCTTAATGTCCAATGAGAGGACAAATTATACTGATTTCTTGACAGAATGTATAAAAAGACTAGTGCCTAAGCCAAATACATTACAGGCAATCTTTAAATGCTTTTTGAATCAAGTAATAATGTAATAAATGCATGAAAAAGTAATTAATGAATAAATAACTGTCTGTGGCTATACAATTAATCTTAGTCAAAGAGAGAACAGGTTAACATATTTTAAATTTAGATTTCATTTATAATATACAAACTTTTCCTGATCTCCTACTCCTGGTCTTTCAAGCCAATCAGACAACCTACATCATAGATTCTCCCTTTTTATTTGTGACCTACCCTGTGTCTACCCTGGTCTTCTCCCTTGTATATGGAATATATAGAGAGAAATATATATGTGAAATGGAGATATTTATTGAAAGTTTTATAAATGTTTTGACAGTAGGCTCTCTAAATGTTTAAAACTAGTACAGAGATGGTAAGAAAGCTCTGGAAAATTATAATTTCCCCACAAAAATAAAGTAATTTTCTAAAAATAAACATGCTGACAGTCATTCAAAAGGAGTAAGGTAGGAGGCTGAAGTAACATCTGGCAATTTAAGTTCTAAGACAATCAGAGCGGTGTTCTCCCAATTGTGTCAGCAGTTTTTAGTAAAAACTGGAGATTTCTACTATTTTTATTTCTATGTAGAACAATGTCTGCCTTGTCAAAATAGAGTGTTCTATATATTCTGACTGGTATCCTTTGCAGGTCGTTATTTTTAACCTAGAGGCTACATTTAGAATGTCATGCTACTAGCATAAAACAAACGTAGCTCTGGGTACAGCAAGCAAATGTCATCAACCATAGGTACAGAGAAGCAATGCTATCATATTAAGGCAAAAATTGGACTGAAATGCTTAGGAAAAATTGTTTCCCAATATAATCACTGCTGTTGACTTGAAAAGTAAGATATTTGCAATGGTTTTTACTATTCTCATCCTTGCTTTTATATCTAGGTTACAGTGATCCCTCAGGAAAGTATGACCCTGCTGTTCGAAGCCTTCACAATTTGGCTCATCTATTCCTGAATGGAACAGGAGGACAAACCCATTTATCTCCAAATGATCCTATTTTTGTCCTCCTGCATACTTTCACTGATGCAGTCTTTGATGAATGGCTGAGGAGATACAATCCTGGTGAGATACTTTCAAATACTTTTTGCAGGCTTAGCCAAACAGACTGTTATAGTGGCAAAGTTGTCAGTTTAGGCTAAGCGCTTAGCACACATAAGATACACTTCAAAATAAGGATAAAATAGCTATAATATCTAGCCATTTTCAAATATTCAAACCCACTTTGAAAAGGCAGGCAAGTTTCTTATAGTTATGGAGGCCGAGAAGTCCAAGGTGGAGGGGCTGCGTCTGTTGAGAGTCTTCTTGCTGGTGTGGACTCTGCATAGTCCCAAGTTGGCATAGGACATCATATGCTAGACTGAACATCCTAGCTCAGGTCTCTTCTCTTTCTCTTCTTATAAAATCACCAGTTCCTCTCCCATGATAACCCATCAGTCCATTAATATGTGAAAGGATTAATCCATTCATGAGGGCAGAGTCCTCATGAAGGGGACAAATATTCAAACCCAGCCTTCTCACATATTCCAACTCTTCCAATTATAGTCCCATTAGTGTCTGCCCAAGCCCACTTCCAACTCTGGTTTTATGACATTGTATTTGGTATTTAATTTTACCAACATAAATATAGGACAACAAACAAACAAACAAAACCAATATTTTGCCACAAATAACCTATCACTCCTTTTATTCCTGATGGCAGAAACTCACTAATAATATAAATGACCATTATTTGTGCTTAAATAGAAAGAGAAGAGATGGCAGCAAGCAAATAGGATTTCAGAATCTTGATTCAAAACTTTAACTATTTTTTGTTAGTGGAGTAAAACCCTGGGAATAAATCTAATAATGATTTCTCTAAAAGTAAACAGAAAAAATAAAAAGTACCAAGTAGAAATGTTCGTAGTCAAGGACAACCTCCAGTAGATACACCGTATCTCAAATTCCAATTATAGATGATGCTACAACAAATGTCAGGTCCACCTTTTTCTTTGGTTTTGAAAAATAAGTTTAATAAATTTTATTCAAATGAGTTTCTGTAATTTAAAAATAAAACAATTGATGATCATCATAGGTGATAAAGTACTAAAACTCCTCTGCTTTTAAACCTTCGTTTTCTATTAAGTGATATGTTGTTGCTGTGTTCAAAGCATTTGAACTCTGTTTTATGTAATTCCCTGTTCTGCTGTAGGGAAATTTTCTTTATGTCTTTATTCAGTGTAAAATTTTTTCATATTCTCCTTGAATATCGGACACCTTCAGAACATAATAATGACATTAATAGTAACTTTATTATGTTCATTAACAAGTTGTCTTTGGAATAATTTAGATATATCCACATTTCCATTGGAAAATGCCCCTATTGGACATAATAGACAATACAATATGGTGCCATTCTGGCCTCCAATTACCAACACAGAAATGTTTGTTACTGCTCCAGACAACCTGGGATATACTTATGAAGTTCAATGGCCAAGTAAGTATTGAAAATGTATTTTTACTGTGATGATTTCCAAAGGCAAATTTGTTCTCTTTAATCACAGTATTCTTAGGCTACATTTTCCATTTGGATTTAGAAGCTTTTATTCATATTTTTATTTGGGGATAAAAATAGGGAATTTAACATTTGCTAAGAGCCCACTCTAACCTGATATTGAGCTGATTAGATAGCACTTTATCTCATTTAATCTTCACGACTCTGAAGTGACTATTATAATCCTGCTTTTACACATAAGGAAGCTGAGTCTTAAATGGATTAATTGATAAAGGTCCACATTTCTAGTAAGAAGTGAGAATGAGTTTTGAGCTTAGGCCCATGTAACAGTCCCAATTTTTCTACTGCACTATGTTGCCTCCATTCATCCCTCCTAAACTAAGAGGGAATGAGATACTCTGAGCTATTTTTTCTGAGATTTTGAACTTTAAAACTTTTTTAATTTTAAATTT